CGTTTTTAATTAATTCATCAGACATTCGGAGATTCAGGCACTCGGACGTCCAGACATCGAAGCCAAATGAGTCGTGGCATTTAAATTAATTGAATTTGGCACACAACAATTAGCCAAAGAATCAACATGCACACCACACTCCACTCCCCAAATTCGGTTCGTTAAAGATTTCCATTTTAGATTTAAGTCGGCGCGTGAATCGCGATGACTGCTGTTGATTTTCCAAATTTGTAAATGACTGCGAGATTTCGCATAATTTTGCGGCCTCTCGGATTGACGTCGGTTGTCAGGACTTTCGGCTTAATTAGAAACTCGTCTTTGCCTGTGGAAAATCCTCGTCCTCGTCCTCGTCATCGTCATCAGTCTGTCGCTCCGTCAAGGGCTTAAATCAGTACACAAAACCATCAAACTCCATGCCACCCAGGGACGCGGGACGTGGGACGTGGGACTTGTGCTCCTCGCACACTCATTAAAATTCAACAAAATTGTTGCCAAATTAACTCAAACATAAGCGAGCAATAAAATTTCCATATTTTCCCTAGCTTACAGGCGACAATAAAGGGACGACCAGCCTCGAATTAAAAAAATTCAGCCAAACTACCCAATGAAAACACAAATATTGAAACAGACGGCAGCGGCAAACTTTACTGAACGTGTTAATTACATGCACAAGCTTAAAGTTGGAACTTTAATACGACCCCGGGGAGTTTTTGAGCCGACCCTTCCGCCTCAGGACCTTCATAGAACTTTTTGAGCACACACAACATTGAGGGACACCTGAATTGCCAGGTGTATAATTTGGCAGGGCAGCGTAGTTAAAGGCACTGGCCATATTCCCCATGTGTAAGCCTTAATAAGTATTGAGAAGTCCTTGGAAACACCTTTAACTAAAATCAGTCATGGAATCTCCAAAGTTATGAAATCGTCCTAGTAGCCAAATATTTCAGTAAGCCGAGTTTCAGGTCTTACTGCACATTGCCAACAAAGATACTCGGCTTTGCAGCATACAAACTGCCCAAGTTCGCTTTCACACCGTACTGATTGCATTATTCCACAGCTAATCATCAGATTTTAATAAACATTCAATCGATAGCCCTTGGAGTGGAGCTGGCATCTGCTCGAATGGAATTCAATTAGGTGATGCGTAATCCCCAGCATTTGTCCCCAGCCTCGATTTAATTAAGCTCCTTTCGTGGCGGAGTTATTCTACCCTCAATGCCCCAGCGCACTGCAATTTATATCTAATTCAGTTCAAAGATTTATTTACTATACCCCGTAATATGGGACTTTAATTAGCACTCTACTTGCTGGCAGATGGAACGGTTCGTTGGCGAGGAAACAAACACGCGGCAATGACACTGAAAGTGGCCGCGTTGCATTGAGGAGGGGTGAATTTTCCCCGCGGGGCGGGCTAAGTGGGCTAAGTGGGCGTGGACAAGTTCCAATGTCATCCTGGCTGGTCAGAAAGGGGCAGTAATGAGGAGGGTAAGCCCCTCCAGCGCTTGAAGAGCTTGTTGTGACTTATTTGTCGTTTTTGTCGTTTTTATTTATTTTTTTCTGCTGCGCTGGAGCTTGAGTTCGCTTCCTGGGTGTCCTTGTAGTTAAGCAGAATTTTAATTGATAAATTGCCACTTGGGCCATTACTTGTCGCTGCCGTGCCTCCAGGCGCCCCCACGTTTTCCACAGCCCCACCTCGCTTTGAATAATTTGCTAAAGTTGCGACCAGAACGGAGGAAACTTATTGCCCGTTGTGGTGGGCGCTTTGGACGTGCTGTTAGTAGCGTTTACATCATCAAATGAAATACAATAAAATACTTGGACTCATTTAAAAAGCAATTAAATATTAAAAACACTTGTACAATGCCGACTCGACTCAGCAAAGGGAAAGGCGAAAGGGAGCTTTGGTGACTTTTGGAATTTTGATTGTTTCTTTACGTTTCGCTTACAACTTTTCGCGGGAAAACGCGAACGCGAGGGGGGATTCTGTGGTTTTATTTGAGTGATTATGCAATTAATTAAAATCTCTTCGCTGGTGGCTGAAGCCAAAAACTGAGCCGTGGGGATTTGCCTCCAACGAGTTCTGCCCCAAACCATGTAATTGAATTAAAATCGGAATGCGAAAGTAGCATAATCGAGTGCTAAGAAACGGGCTGAATCAACTTTCTGGCCATTCGGGGACTTGATCCAGGAATTTCCTTACCGGAAGTCAAGTTTATTTGGACAACCAGACAGGAGATTGGGTCGAAAAAAGTCGAAACATACTGAAAAAAGGCAACTTGGAAAGGAGTTGGGATGAAACAATGGCTGGGGGAAATGGGGAGGAGGGAAGACCAGCACAGATAACGTTCAGTTATTCCATTAATTTGATTAGAGTTTCTGTCGGATCTGAAGATAAGGCCATCGAAAATCAAGGGAAAACAAAGAAAATGCGCGAACTGGCGAGGTGGCAAAGTCGAATCAACAGATACTTCGATAAATTGATAGATATACTATAATAGGAGATGCGATTTTCAATAAATAAAAGAGCGTAAGCTAGTCAAAAGTCCTAAAATAGCAATCATGTGGCCTATGCTAAATATATAACACACCAAATTCTTATAAAATAATTTAGATCATCTGTTATACATTTTAAACATTTCAAAGACTGCACGGTGAAATATGTTATTAACTAAATTTAATAAATGAACTAAAAAGATTGAATTCTCCTGGGGTGTGAAAAAAGAAGTAATGGGACACTGTGCTGCCTATCAGACAAATCTAGAAAAACCCTTTTCAAGAGCGTGAACACTCAGCAACACGCGCGAGACAAAATTTGCACGAAAAGACCGAAAAAAGGGAATTTGTCATGGGGGAGCGGAAGCCATCTCATCCACGTGGACACACCTTATGAAGTGGTGTTATTAACTACGACCTTACGCGGGGCAACTTATGCCCCATAAGAATTTAACGCCCGAATGCTCAAATTGTCAATAAGAAACTTGGCACGCCCACTTCGCGGTGGGGCTATCTGTCTGGCTAAGCCAAGTTGGTAACATTTTATGCCACCTCAGTAACACACGGACACACACACTACGGTTGGCCTTAAACGGCAATGTCCACGCGTTTTCATTAAGCCAAGTTTCGGCGTGGCCAAAACGAACAACGAGGCCCGGCAATCATTTTTTATGGAGCTGCGCGGCCAGCGCATCAAAAACCCATTTGGCCGCCATTAACTTGATTGAGTCGAGCTGTGCGAGCGGCGTTCCCGGGCTTTTCCACTTTTTTTCGCCTTTTTCTTAACTTTTGCCACTTTTTGGGGGCGTTGCAAATGAAAATTGATCATGGCTCGGTGTCCCTTCCATGTTTACAACTAATATTTCTGAGGATTTCTGAGGTGATGCGATCGGCGGCGACTTCGGGGCCATTAGTTGTCATTAGTGGGCTTTTCCTTAATTAAACTTTACCCCCAATCAGTCATTACAGGGTGTTGGCCGTTTGCCGTTTGCCGTTTTATTCGCAGTCACTATCTTCCCACTCATTTGTCATCTAGCCCACGGCATCTGCAATCCAGCAGTTGTTTGCTAATTAAAGGACCAAGTCCACGGCTCAGCCCCCCATCGCCAAGGCCAAGATTGTGGTCCTGTCAGACGTGCTCCACTCCTCAGTGCTCGGCCCCCAAGGGGTTGACCTACTTCGGCGGACAGGTGCTCAAGCACTCCCACTGATTTGCCACTGCGGCTGAAATTGGCTTTATTCAGGCTCTGGAGGAGCCTCAATATTGTCCAGTTCCTGGACGGTTTTGCACAACAAACATTGAAAGGAATTGGGGCCTTGTTATATTTAATGCCATTTGCCAATTTGGTAGGTAAAATCAGAATAGTTCGATAGTGCTTGAACATATGCTAAGTTCACTTAAGGCTATTTAACACATGCTGAGCAAATCCCTGGGCTACGCTGTTCCTTGAGCCAATTACGCAGTGGGGCTCTTCCTGGACTGCCAAAACTGCTGTCTCCAGATTCGATTAACCCTTCGGATTGGCATCCAAAAACTGGATGCACAGCCAGCGCGCAGCTGAATCCAACTGTCACAGGACAGCATATTTAAGCTCAGTTGGCTTACACAAAATAAATAAATGTGATTTGTCATTTTGCAAAACATGAAATGGCAGCAGTTGGAACAGGACGAGTAAACTGCTCGGGAGAGAGCATTAAATTGCAGTCAAATGGCACGCTGTGTGCATTCCAAATGCCAAGGATCCTGAGCATCCTGCTCCAGGACGAGGGAGGGCGGAGATGTATTAAATTATTCGAGCGTGCAGCAACCAGACGGAGATACTTTCGTATGCAACACTGAGCAGTCCGTCCAAGTCCAAGTCCACATACACACTCGACTGTTTGCCATGTGACTTTTGCCAGATCAAATAAATTTTGTCTCTTGCACGAGGACGAATCCAGCGGAGCTTGGACAGGAGGCTAAGCTGCGGAATGCCTCCTCATCAGCAAATCAGCCCCAGCATCAGCATCAGCATCAGCATCAACATCTCAATCTGGCAGCAAGTCTGGGCCAACTTAAGAGCCATATAAAATTCATTCGACCGAGCGTACAGCAACGAGCTGCAAATGAAATGGCGACACAAGCGTGTTGAAGCCACCTGTCAGTCCAGTCCGCCCGGTGACAGAGCTCCGCCAGGTGGGAGCAAGTGGCTCAGGCGGGGACTCTACCGAAAAAGTAAGGGACCTTACATTGACCTTCCATGTCTCTGAAGTTGCGAAAGGCGACAACTAGTTGACTTTGGCAAATATTCAAATAAGATCAAATTTAATGTAGTCACTTTATTTTGAAGTTTCCACAGAGGAGCTCAATTTTCCGAGCCAATATTTTTAGGCACTTTTTTTGTTGTAAGTAATGTGGTTTATTTTTGGTTAAATATTTAAAGGTGATATATTAGCTGCATAAAACATTGTATTGTACGAATTTTATTGCACGACAAGGCAATATATGAAATATAAATATATGAAAATCACTCCAAGTCGCTAGGCGGGATTTCGTTGGCATCAACTTGAGCCACTTTGTATTGGTGACACGGCTGAATAATGACGAAGGAGCAGACCAAGGACTTGCTGACACTCATCACTCCGCCGGCATTGTTCATGAGTCCGCAGTAATTGGGGGCTGAAAATACGGTGACCAGCTGCCGGTTGGCAAAAAACTCGTATCCGTCCTCCACAACCTCGTGGGCTCGCACCATTAGGTCCAGGTCGAAGGCTTTGAGAAAATCGCGCACTATGACCTCGTCGAAGGTGAAGCTCACACCGCGATCGTTGTGACCCCAGCCCTCGGTGGTGTGGTTCAGATCCGCCCAAAGGAGATCGCACAGGATGCCCTCATCCGGGACATCAGTGGGTCGCCGGATCAGGCCGATCTGCTTCAATCTCTGCAGCGATGGACTTAGTCCCCCATGGCAGCAGAAGATGCGTCCACCCACCACCGCGGCCACCGGAAGCCAGTCGAAGCAATCCGTGAAACTGCGCCACAAACGCACGGTGTGCCTGCGTTTGATCTCGTCGTAGAATCCGTAAATGCGGTTTATACTGGCGCACTCGTGGTTGCCGCGCAGCAAGAAGAAATTCAGTGGATACTTCACCTTGTAGGCGAATAGCAGACAGATCGTTTCCAGCGATTGCTTGCCCCGGTCCACGTAGTCGCCGAGGAACAAATAGTTCGCATTTGGTGGAAAGCCGCACGCCTGGAAAATCCTCAGGAGATCCGTAAACTGGCCATGAATGTCGCCGCAGATTTTCACCGGAGCCTCCAGTTCCAGCAGCATTGGTTGCCACCTGATCACTCCTAGGGTCCTTTGAATGAGTCGCTCGATTAGTTCCTCCTTAAAGGTGCACTCATTTCCATTCAGCGAGGTGAGTTCTTTTATGATGCAATCTATTTCTTGAGTAGTTAGGACGGCCATCGTAATCGACTTGATTTTTGTGAAACGAACGTAATTTTCGTAGTTTGTAAAACTAGTATAAGTTAATGTGGCGTTTTTTCAAAAGAAAGTGATATATTTTTTACAAATATATTAGTGATATTAAACATATTGTAGAGCTTAGACTTTTTCTAAATATGCAAGGATAATCTTCCGGCTTCGCTCTTTCCACAAAGTCTTAGCCGAGACTTGACTGGGCTTAAAGCAGAAGCGTTAAAGTGCAAAAGATTTATGGAATTTATTTATGTGCTAGTTAAAACGGGTCCAACGGTGGGTGGTGGTGCGAGTGGGTGTAGTGGAGGCCATCATCATCATCATCATCGTCGTCATCATCGTCTAGGTCGTCGTCATCGTCATCTCCATCAGAAGCGCCATCACAATTTTCGTTGCGGCGGTGTGGACGTAAGCGGATTTGCGACAAAACTCATTCGCCATGGACACGATGCCACGCCCACACCGCCCAAGCCGCCCACCCCGCCCACACTGCCCTCTCAGCCCTGGAGTGGACCCCCCTTCGGGCCCACAAGTTGGCTTGGCTTGAATCGCTCGGCTGGTCAAAACCTCCGACGTCTTTGCCGCTTGTTAGCAGTTGACAGCAAAGAGCGACGGGGCTAAATCCTGTTAAAATTTAGTGCAAAATAAGATAGAATGCTGGATGCTTAGCCGGGAAAAGGAAAGTAAATTATTCGTTCTTCACTCTCATTGAATGCTGTGTACGAGCAACGTAGATTTTTCCGCTTTTCTTTTGCCCCTTTTGCGCTGCTTTCTCCCCTGCACTTTCCATTGAAATGGAAAATATAAAAATATAAAATAAATAAAATAAAGTTCCGACTGGCCATATACATAAGTTTCGCCATTTTATTCGCTCAAGACCAAGCAACATAAATATCTTTGTATTCCGCTGGCCCATAAATTGTCGCCGAAAGCTCCGAAAACAATAAAAATAAATGAACTTGAGTGAGTCTTTGCACTGGTACCGAAAATGAAACTGAAACCGAAACCGAAACCGAAACCGAATCCTAGAGACCCGAAAATAAAAAAGAAGCCCCAAATTGGAACTGGAACTCGAAACGAGGCAATTTGATGTTGATTATTACTCGTCCTTCTAGTGGGAATTACTTTTCTCGGCTATGGTTTATGTGTTCCCGGCTATTTTGGCTATTAGTATTTATGGTCCTGTCCACTGCCGGCCAAATCGCATTCTAAATGATAAAGAATTTGTGGCGTATGTATCTTCATCAGCTGGTTGGGAAAAGTGACAGATATAAACTAATAAAATGCATTTAAATGGGCAGTTTGCTTGCTCATCAAAGGGAATCATTATTTTACGGGCATTATTTGTGAGCTTGCTATTCATAATTAGTATTCAACAGTTTCTTCCTTTGCCAAGCAAGTAAAACCATTAGTTTCCCAAAAACATGGCTATTCTGAAATGCACCATAAGTTTCAAGATAAAGTCATTTTTCGATAATTAATGTTTCAGCCTTGCAGATATTTTCGTGTGCACATAATCGAAATATGCAAATTTAAGTTTGCATTTTCAAAAAGCTGATTATTTCATAATGATGCATGATTTTTCATTTTAAAACCGAATCTCTACCAAAAATGTACTTCAGAGTTCTTAAACAGAGTTAACCGAGTTTCTGTTAGCTACTTGCCCCTTTTTTTATTAGCCTAGAAAATCAAAACAAAATTCATAAAAATGCTATTATTTGTGAGGGACGCGGGGAATGGGGAGCAGTGGAGGACACATGAGCTGGACAACAATTGAGAGAGTTGCCAAGGATACAGGACATTGGGGGCGGAAAGGTCGCTCCTAAGTCTCCACACGTGCTCTCAACTTCTTGGTGTACTCCCGTACTAAAGTACTTCATGCAATGCGCGTGGACCAAATGCACTCAGGGAAAATACCACTGACTTACACTACATATATTATAATTTGTTGTCAATTTGAATTGAAGCTGAATTAGAGCTTGGCAACTCCTCTGCATTATGTATATTTCTCTTTAAAGTCCACTGATTCAGCCAGACTGCAGTTGGCTTGAACATTTGGTTGAACATGCAACACACTGAAGAACACAGTGCATTTTCTTACTGTGTACTGCTCAACTTGCCACTCGACCTATTCGCTCGTGTCGGTCGCCTTTGGTTGAAGGAGGGACATCTGGAAAGCAATAACAAATGGCGACAGTTAGGATGTGGAATGCAGTTGTATTTCACTAGCTTTTTCCATTGCTCCACTCGCTTTTGGCTTAACATTTCACTTTCCACTCGAGCTCCATCCCTCAGCCCGGTTAACTTTGCACTTTTTAGTGCTCCGTGTCTGATTCAGAATCTGCTCCTTCTACACGTGTCGGTGACATTTCCCCGGGCGTGCATCCCATAAATATTTGCAAATGGTAACTCACATCGAACTTGTTTGATTTGCCGGCGGTGGAGGAGAATGGAAGTCGAATTGATGCAATCGAGATTTCACTCTATATGGCGCCAATTAGCAAATACGCGCTTTAATTTACACCATTTCCCTAACAAATTGTATTTCATCTACATTTTTTGTTATAGTACTCGACGATAGTATAAAATTTATGGTGCAAAATAATTGAATTCATGCTTTCAACTAGTTTTGTTAAATAGCCGGAACAAGAAAGCTTGGGGTGAAAAAGTTAATTTAATTTTTGATCCAGTTGTCCGATGAAATTTTAATTTCTGAACTCACACATTTATCAGGCAAATAAAACATTTGTATTTAGCCGAGCAAACAGAAATTGAATAATGAAAAAATCCAAACTCGCAACTGGCTTAATGCACCTAAAATCTGGCATCAAGTGGAGCAGAAGAGGGACATCAATAAATGCAATCTGTAAGCAAACTTTGAGTGCTCGGCAAAATCACCCGGCTGTCCGGGGCTTGACAGCTTAATGTCGGGCTAGAAAACAATTTGCATGGCCTGGGAAATGCCAGCTGAGGCCACAAATAAATATTGAAACCGAAAAAGGCTTTCGTGGCCAGTACCCAGGGGTAAAATGGAGCTCTGCTGGTCCCAGGGGCCTTGAAGTCGGCCTCATAATCTGATGCTAGTTATAAACTCCCAGCCAGCGGCCGGACCAAACCAAAGTCATTTATATTTGTGCCCAAAGAGTCTTGGATTTCACAGCAGCAGCAGCTGGAGCAGGAGCAGCAGGAGCAGCAGGAGCAGCAGCAGGAGCAGCCGGAGCTGGCAAATATAATCATTCATGGTTTTCAGAGCATGAATCACATGCAAATGGGCAGGGCCGGTGGCCCGTTGTGTTGCCTGTGCAAATAGATTCATAAATCAGTATGAAAATATTATTTGATTTCCGTTTTCACAAAATGCCACAAAAGAAGGCATCCCTCCCGCACTTTTCCGTACCCTTATCGGTGTCCAAATCCGAATTCTGAGACGTTGTCGGAAGCTACTAATTGGAGCATAAAGTACCAGCAACAAATGTCTGGGCATTATTATTTTTGCCTGCTGAATGGTCAATACCCTTATGAAATTTGAATAAAATTTGCATGACTATGGCTCAAACTTGAGAGTGACTAAAGGTTGATTCCCGGATAAAAAAATGTATTGCTCGAGAAATACAAGATGTAGTGGCTATTAGGACGGGGACATGAACTCTCACAAATTGTATGGATAAGGAAAACTTTGAAATAATGAAATAAAGAAAAACTTAGCAATTTTTTAAAAGTGTGGGTGTGTGATTTTTGGGCGTTAGAGTGGGCGTGGAGCCTGCATGCTGATTCTCAATCATGAGATCAAGGCGTTCAAACGGACAGACGGACACGGCCAGTTCGACTTTATTTAATTTTTAATATTTAAATATTTAATAGTTCGACAGTATTTAAATTGATCCTGATCAAGAATATATACCTGAGAATATACATACTTTTTAACGAATCTAGTATACTTTTACTCCACGAGTAAATATATAAATATACACTATATTTGATTGTGCTAGAATCAATTCCAGACTACAGAGAGTATTTATGCTGCTTCACAACGAAGGAAACTCATTTTTTGCCAACTTCCCTTGGCGGAAGCAAAATGTTGACATTGCGTCATGCGGCCTGTGAATTATGTGTAGCATATCTGGCTTAGGCCATTGGCAGTGCAACAATGAGCACTTCCGCCTGTCTGCAGCGCCTTTATGTATCCGCAGGGACTGCGACTTCCCCTGTCCTTGGCTTCCATCTCGATTTTTCATCGCAATCAAGCGGCGCATCCACAAAAGTATGCAACACCATCTGGGCATCGGCGTGTCTTTGCCTTGGTGCATTTGTGGATCTGTGGATTTGTGCATTTGTGCATCTGCGCATCTGTGGATTCTTTAACTTGTGCACTTGTGCACTCTCGCATGGCCAAATGTCTTGGTTCAAGTCGTGACAGTCGAAATGAGTTTCTTTCTGCTCATTGTGGCACAGCGGTTGTGTGGCAAGCTGCATCCCCGACCGCTGCTTAATATTTCCGCTTGCACACTTGCTTATTTATTATGCTTCCGCCATCCTGCGGCGCCACAGTGGCCGAGGAGGGGGTGCGGGGTAGTCCCCGGTAAGTTGGCTTCTTTGCTTATTTGCCCTAATGCCAACTCACTTGACTTGGCCCAGTGGGCCAGGGATTGGGGTGCTGGTTCTTGGAACTTGCCACTTGGCACTCGGGACGCAACTGGGAGTTGTCTGGCTCTCGGCTGCGTCATGTTAAGTGCCTACATAGGATAATCTGCACATCTCAAGTCAACTTTATGCGGCCATTGTGTGTGGCCCTCATCCTGCAGCAAGCTGTGCAGTTGCCTCGCAAGTCGAGTCGCCTGCCAGGCTTATCCCCATCGCCATTTTGTCTGCGCGGCTCTGCATTCGGCATTGGCTTTTTGCGCCGCCACAGTTCCCCCGCCTGGGCCGCTGCCTCCACTGTCGCCTTAAGTAATTAGCATGTTCAGCGCTGGCGGGTCAGATGTGGGGCAAAAGTGGGGGGGGCCAGGCCGGCAGGAGGTGCAGATGGGCCACTGCTGGCTCTGACAACCG